ATGCGGGTGTCGGTGGATAGGGGTGTGGATGTGAATGGGAGTATTGGTGCAATAAATAAAATGCACACCCTCAAACCCACATCCACACCCCACCCACCTTCCATAAAGAATGGTACGAAAAGTCTTTCGCCGCACCTCTTATGCTCTATGACGATCGTGTTCCCGGAATCAGATGGAATTGATTCCGGGACGCAGCGGATTATGTAATATTTAACATTTCGGCATAGGATAACTGCTTCTACATTCGCACACTCACCCACTTCTATACCTTCTAGATGGATCCTTGAGACTCTTTAGGATCAATCGAAATACATAGAATCCGCTTTTTCCCACTGTATAAAAATGTTTATTCTTGGAAGAAAACTTCATTTTCTTACTCTTTGATTATCTAAGATCCAGAAAACGAAGCACGAATATGAATGCAACTCTATCTTATTCACAAAATTATTCGTCCAGTAGAGATGCTTTTTCACAAAAATGAGCTGTCTGCAGCAAACATCACCCATCATCAATAATTAATGCATGAATTTTATTTTATTTTACAGAAAAATGAACACAAAGATATTGATCAAACTCTTTTATGTTTTAATAACATAGATTTAATACACTTTAAAAATAGTCGAATGGATTCTCAATAAAGTATACAAAACAAAACAAAAAGAAATTGAATACAATATAAAATCATATATGGACAGGCGTCTAAAAAGGATAAGAGATGAGAAAAAAAGCTGTTGATGGTTTGATGATGATGAATATAATTCATATGCGCATATACCAGTGACGTACTTATGTCATGCACAAAAAATTATCATGCGCTATTGATGGAGTGTTTTTATGTGTAGATAAATAATATAGAGCAGTCATCCTATTTCGCAATGTTGAACATTTCAGGAACCAGTTCCGCTCCGGAATCGATTCCGTTCAATTCCGGGAACTCGATCGACACATAATATCCGATACCCACTCGAAAATTGATCGAGTTCCGTCCAATTCCGGAACTGGTAGGAATTCCGTATAATTCCAGAATCGGTAGGAATTCCATGTAATCCCGTAATTAGAAGTAGTCCACGCAATTCCGGAATTGGTGGGAATCGGTAGGAATTCCCAGGAATTCCGTCCAATTCCACTGAATTCCGTCTTG